AGAAGCCTAGAAGCAATTGCTTGCTTTCAGGGATGTGTGCCTGCACTGCAAGGTGCTCAAGCCAGGGGTCCAGGACCCCGTGACCGTCCACGGGGGCACCTGGAACCTTCAGCCTGGCTACTCTGCTGGGTTGTAGTGCACTGTGGGAAGCCGCCCATTCACTCACCCCCTGCACTGCCGAGGGCAATAGTTCTGCCAGTCCCAGAGCTGGTGGCCACACCCTTGCAAATCCTTGAAAGGGTTTGTTGGGGTTTCTGTGCTTCCAGCCACAGCTTGGGAGCCAGTCACTTGTCCCCTTGGCTCTCCCCAACACCCCTGACAACACGGCCTCCTGGGAGTCGGGACGGATTTTGCAACACTTTTAATACACAAAACAAAGGTGACAGGCGGGCTGGGCGGCCAGCCTTCAGTCCACACACAGCCATGGAGATACAGCCCAGGGGGGACAGCCACGGTTCCCCGTCACGAGGAGCGCTCTTGGCAGCTGTGGGAGTGCGGGCTCCATTTTCTGGGGAGCAAAGGGTAACAATATTGTAACAGTTGTTACAATACACATTCCAGAAAGGAGACACCAGCCTGTGTCAGTGCCAGGCAGAGCCCAGCACGTTCTGAAGGAGGCTCGGCAGGATAGCTGGCGATAGGGCACCTCCCACCTGCTGCACTGGCACCCCCCAACTCCAAGCACCCGGTGCCCTTTCCTTAGATGCTCACACTTCAGAGCGCTAGGGACACAAGGTGGCAGGTGGCAGCCAAGCCTGTGAGCTCTTCACACCCTGTCCTGGGCCCACCCCCGGCCCACCCACCTGCTGGCTTTCTTTAGTGCAGGAATCCCCTCTGCTGCTCCGTGGCCTGGTGTGCCTGCAGCACGGTCAGGGCCTCTTGGATCTGTGGGACACGGGGGAACTGGTCAGCGGGGTCCAAGAGAGGCACATCCCTTCCTTCCACAATGAACAAAAGGGCCCCCCACCCCCACCCAACACCCTCCACGGCACTTCTGCAGCCATCATCCAATGACAACGAGCCACCTCCAGTGACAGAAATGCACGGTTTGGGACCGCTGGAAGCAAACCCAGCCCCTACACAAAGTCAACACAGCACCCTGCACCACAAGCGTGGGAGCTACTCAGCCTCCGTCCAACTGCTGGGGGCCTGCAGCAGCGGATCTGGGGTGACGGCCTTTGCCATGCTCCGATGCAGCAGGCCTGCAGGGCTTAACAAGGAGGCACACTCCACCTGGCCAGTGCCCGGGAGCTTACCCAGGAAGATCCCTTCCGCGCTAGCTCCCCTCCAGCCGCCCCTCCCAGCTGGAGACCCCGGCAGCCCAGGCCCCCTTACTTTGGCACTGAGGGACTCCGGAGACTCCAGCATCAGCAGCAGCTCCGAGTTGTCGATCTCTAGCAACATGCCCGTGATCTTGCCAGCCAGCTCGGGGTGGACACGGCTGATGAGCGGGTAGAGCCGCTCACCTGTAGAGGACCCCCTCTTGAGGGCTGGTGCACACCGCTCCCGGGGTGGCTGAGACCCCCCACCCCAGGGTGGTACTGGGGGAGCCATGAGGACCACCTGGATTCTTGGCACAGAGCCTGCTCCCTCAAGGCTACGCCGTCAAGCCAAGTGGGAGTCTCCTTTCTAACCCTGAAGTGGGCAGAGTGGACCTGCCTTATGGGGCTCCCGGGTGGCCTTGTGGAGTAGGTAAGCAGGCATGGCAGGCAGCAGCTCGAACCCACCGGAGAAAGATAAGGCTGTCTGCTCCCGTGAGGATTCACAGCCTCTGGGACACCAATACAGGTCACTCTAGGCTGAAGGGACTTGATGGCTGTGGGCTTAGGGGGTGGTGTGGTTTAGAAGAGGCCCAAGACCCGACTGGTTACTGGGCGTGCAGTCAGTCATCTGCACGGGATCCGACACATCTGGCTTCTCCCAAGGAAAGTCACCATTCACCACGGAGGAGTGCTGCTGGCGGGCAGCCCACCTCAGCAAAGGGCCATGGCCAGGCCAGAGTGCCTGTCTTGCCATGAGGAAACCGAAGGCATTATGGGAAAGCTGCTGGCAGAGCCACCACCTCCTACCCCTGTTACGCCCACCTCCCTCCAGGTTTTCTTTGGTGGGGGCAAGAACGGGCAGGGCAAAGAAATGGTAAAACGTGAGGAAGCGGGGGTGGTGGTGACCCTGGGGCCTTCAGCGAAGGGTCTGGTGAGGTGGGCGGCCCTCAGGACAAGGATCTGCTCATCAGCCAGTGACCAGGCTGCTCGTGTGGCGCCCTAGCCAGGCCCTGCCCTCCAC